AGAAATGACTTTTCACGTTGTTTTTAGGGTCAATAGGAAGAAGAATGTTATAGCTAGAACTTATTTATCTTCGATTTAAACAGAAATTCCTTCAACTTTTATAAAAGCTCAAGGACTCACGTGGTGCTGTACGGACTCTAAAACACAGCGGTGGCGCCCCCTGCGCGGAGAAATTTCTTACTTCACGCAGCTGTAGATACACCTTAAAGAGTAACCTTCGAAGAGCAATATCGGACTCCATTTTTTAACCTATCGCTGCAAGGCAAGGTGTTTCAAAAGGTATTACGATTTAAGGGGAAATGTGGGAATTTTCGATGTAACTATTCGATTGAATTCAACTTTTCCAATAGAGTGGAAATGTGGAACTTCGTCAACAGACTAACAGGATACTCGACTTAATTTGTGCCAGTTCGTATATCAATAAACCAGTATAAATACCACAAATAGAAATTAAATAATAAAAAAATCGAAAATATTCATGACTAAAATAAATTTCTTTGCATGAAATACTAAAATTGACTAAATAATAACTGCCCCTCGCCCCTGATAGCTAGGAACCGGAGGTACTCTGCTAAATATTCTGTACTGGAGTCCCTTTAACGCCCAAAAACCCTGAGTGATATGAATGCGGAGCTGAATCTATTCTCTTTATTGTGTGACTTACACTATTACGGAGCGGATCTACTTCCATTTTTTCCGGAGTGTCATACGCTTTTATGAGTGGCGTGGCGTGCTTTGCGATGTATCGAATGATCTGCCTTTTAAAATTTCTTTGCTTTTAAACCTATGGAAATGGATCGATAAACAGGGTGTTCGCAGCGGACACCTTAATAATCGATTCATTACACTGAGAAAAAGACTTCGTGCGTGGGACCCGAAGTTTAGGTCATACGGATCTCTGAAGTTCTCGGATCCGTAATCCGGAAACTTCAGAGATCCATAATAATATGACCTAAACTTCGGGTCCCATGCACGAGGTTTTTTTCTCCGTGTACCATAGGTTTAAATTACATATCAATCGATAAATCGCACTTCACTTCACGCCACTGGCTTTTATAGTGCTAATCTCACTCCACATCCATATCACTGGGGGTTTTGGGCGCTAAGTAGACCCTCGTACCGAATTTCCCCCTCAATTTTCAACAGTGTAGGCTTCCTTGTCCCCGAGAAACAAACTTAACGAAAGCTAAGGTTTACCGCACTCCACTGTATCGTCCTTCCTCTCTCCTCCCTCTATCCTCCCACCTTTCCACTCACCTTAACGATGGTTTTTGCAGCGGAAAAGTTCGTCTCAAAATGGCGTAGGTCGTAAACGAAGTGAACGGAATCTGTGACGATCGCTTTAAGCGAAGCGCGTGAAAAGAGTGCGCGTGTACTAATCAGTGCGAAGTGGCCCGAAGATCGTGGAGATCGCAGTGAAGAATGTCGTCGACGCAGTCGTACTACAAGGATCGACTGGGCTTCGACCCCAACGAGCCCGTCGACACGACGCCTTTCGACAAGTCAAAGCAAGGCTACGAGGACAACCTGGTCAAATTCAAAGGTTTGTGGGAATTCTTTGCCGATACTATAGGTACGAAATATTGTTCTAAGCACGACGATTGCCGTGTGACGTGTGGATCCTGCCATGACGCCTGCCGTGTTCCTTGTGTGTTCTTTTAATCCCGATCATCGAAGGACCAGTAGAAATAACGTCTTCTTCCAAGGTTTTCAGAACGTCCCAAACGGGTTGCCCACTGCCCAGTCGCAATGCTCCCATTCCATGACCGTCAAAAGTTCCGAGATTCTTTCTAGATTTTTGCCGAAGTTCCGGAAAGTGCTAGAGATCCGGAACATTGAGGAAATTTCCAAAAGTTCCGGAACAAATTCTGGAAAATCTTCAAAGTTCCGGAATTCGGCACTAGTTTCAGGAAATGGGAGCACTGCCCAGTGGTTAATATCATAGTTAGAAGTTGATTTCAGTAATTTTCATCGCACGAATTGTATTCTACGTCAATTAAAAATTCTTAAGTTCCCACTTTGTCTAGTAGTGGCCCATTCTGCATGACTATTTACCGGGAACTTTGCGAAAAGGAAAAGCGGAGGAAAGGAAAGTCTTTTCACATCAGAGTTTCCAAAAATTCAAGTAAGTGGGTGAAGAATCAGAAATAATTTTTGCGGCCGTTTATTTATTTTTCATTTCTTGGAATCAGCAGGAAGTTAAATTAACTTACCTCTCATTTGGGCCTCAGAGAGAATGAACTCGAGAATTTGTGTGTTACAGCGTTTTACTAATATATTATGACTAATCATTTAATCTCGGTTTTTGTAAATTTTGTCGCGTTTGCGTTTTCGTAATTTTGTGGTTGAGTAATATGATTAACTTCTCTAGCATGGCGCTTTCGTCCTTATTTTGTTTAGTATAACACAACCAGATTGAATCAGTTGTTTTCAAAAGGAAACAGGTCCATTCCTCGATGAGTTACAAAGTTAGCATGTGCTTTTACGCAAGCCAAGGCCCATGCAAAAATGGACTTATTCCCTTTTGAAAACAACTGATTCAATTATCGATTCGTACTTGTCAGTTGCACCAAATGTCGGTCCGATTTTCTTGATTTTATCCAACTCTATTCTGGACCTTTTCCTGTTTTTTTGGAAAATAATGGGGGGAAGGCATGGAGTACATAGAGTCGTAATGTGAATGAGAGACCTGGGAGCATGCTCTGGACGACGAGTTTCGAGCCCAGTGTGCGCCGAGCATCGGTCACTTTTTCGATACATTTTCGATCCAAAATAGCGATGTAGAATACTGTCGTGCTAAAGGAAGAATGCCGTATGAACGTTCGAGAATTGCTAAATTTCCCTCACTAAAATGTTTATTTTTGAGCAAATTTATGAATATTTTTCCCTGAAATTTTCAGGCACTTTGGGTGAAATTACGAATAAAATCATCTGAAAAAGTGAAAGAAAAATATTCATAAGTTTATCGGTAAAGCCGTGTTTTATCAAAGGCAATTTGGCAACGCCTGAAGGTTCATACGGCGTTCTTCCTTAGCACGGCAGAATATGTGGTGATTCCTATCCTTTTTGGTCACATCGGATGGCCGGGTCCCCGTATATCGCAAACAATCGATCATGTATCGAAAAAGTGACCCAGCGTGACACAGGGGTCTCGGAATTTAGGACCTGGAAAATGCTTAAAAGTGGTCCCAGCACTCCCACTCACATTACGACTCTATGTTCTCTATGGCCTTATCTCCACGGGACGTTTTCATGGGATTTGTCCCAAGTTCGAATCGCAGGAATGGAACTTCTGGGATTTTTCGCAGTTACCGTCTCCACGGGACGAGGCTCATACGGTCCTGCGACTAGTTTGCGCGGGAAGATAAATTAGATAAAGTCGAGGATTTAACCGAGATTAAAATAATAATTGCACTCAATTGACAATTAGACACATTATTTTAACTTAACAAACATGAGCCATTGGAGTAATCAACAAAATATAGCACGATTCGTTTTCACTTCTTCTTCCTCTCTCAGTGGGTCCTAGGGGTACAAGGACCATATTTGGTACTGCGAAAAATGTTGATTAACTCAACATTTCTCCCAACTTCGTGAGTGGGATTTTTCCCTGGGACAAATCCCGTGAAACGGCCCGTGGAGACAAAGCCTAAGGGCTTATAAACATCAGGAACGCTATCGGAATTAACATTTTGAATGTGCGCCAAAGAAATGGCTGAAAGATGAATTTAAATCGGTATTCATACATGGAACTCTGGAGAATTTTATTCTTTTATTCCAGAAAATCCCGGGAAGTGGGAGAAAACTTCTGTTTCTAATCAGGGAGTGAGCCCCTGAAAATCAGGGAAGAATCAGGGGATGAGCCCGGTCAAAAATTCTACACTGGTAAGAAAAACACATTGGATCTAGAGTCCAGACTCTTGAAAACATCGACAAGAAAAAATAATCTTGATTCAATCAGATTTAAGCTTAAATCAAGAACCAAGCCTCTTAATTTGAGCGATTTCCTTTTGATTTAAGCTTAAATCTGATTGAATCAAGAGTCCGTTTCCTTGTCAATGTNTTTTTTTTTTTTTTTTTTTTTTTTTTTTTTTTTTTCCCAGTGTAGACACCATGTATTACGCTTGTTGCTCCCCTTAGCACTAATTGTTGACTTATTTTTTGGGGGGTTTTTGAACATGCGCTCAGTTTTTGCCATTCCAAGGAAGTTTTTTAGTTACCATAGGCTATATTCACGACATATTCCGGCGTATGGAGCGGAAGTCGGGCGTCGCGTCGAAGGGGCAAACTGAGCTGGGTGACGCGCGGCGCTGTTGAGCGTGTGCCGAAGCGTTGTTGTATCGCTGCATGGTACGTTAGGCATTTCCTTATCACCTGGATTTGCGGCGTTATCAGCGCTGGGCCCGGTAGTGGGACTGCTCCGTTGTTCGCTCGTTCTCCGAGGCGTGTCCTCTACTCCTCTGCCTTGTCTCGCGGTCCCGCCGCGCGCCGCCTAGTCTTCCCGGCCCCATCCCAGCCCCGGAGCCCTGACACACTGCCATGCCATGGATAGCTCTGCCTCTTGGAATTATCTTCCAGTGCGTAGTACAACGTTTCTCACTCCTCGCCTTATTCTTGCCCAACCCGCGGCTCTTCTGCCTGTATCAACGGCATTGGGGGATCCAGCAAATTGGCATTATTGTTTTTTCTCCATTTAAACCTATGGAAATGTATCGATTCTTGGAGGGGCCAGGTGCCCCGACAAGAATCGATTATTTAACATAGGTTTTAATTGAGGCAAGCCGTCTTCATCCATAAACATCGAGCTCTTGGTTCAAACCGAAACAAACTAACATAACCTCACTTGCGAATTCTTCCTTAGTTAATTAAGTTAATCTATTAAAATTTTGTTATTGACCGGTCATAAATCAATTAAAACCTTTAACTACGAGAACTTTCGATTGTAAAAAACACTTGGACGCATTTTACCACCATGTGCCAAGGGCGCGAATGAGCGAGAATCAGAAACAAGGTTCTGTGCGTTTGTTTACATTTGAACCGAGGGTTCGATAGGTATCATATCGAATGACATAGCCACTAAATCAGTCGGTTGCCCATCGGGCAAAGCTTACATATAGTTTCTATAAATAATGGCTCACAACCGGCTGCTTCACACTGGAAAAAAAAAACACATTGGATCTAGAGTCCAGACTCTTGAAAACATTGACAAGAAAAAATACTCTTGATTCACTCGGATTTTTGCTTGAATCAAAACGAAATCCGCTTAAATTAAGAGGCAGGGTTCTTGATTTAAGCTAGATTCTGATTGAATCAAGAGTACTTTTTCTTGTCGATGTTTTTAAGAGTCTAGACTGTAGATCCAATGTGTTTTTTTCCAGTGTTTTTTAATTGATAGACAAATGCTACTAAGTTTCTTTCCACAAAGTAGAGTTTTAATTTCACTAGAAAGAGAATTATACATCTGCAAGTATTGCAAAGTAAGTATCTAGTTACTTATTACCGCAGAAATAAATATTTTACTGGGGAAAATCTGGCAACGTTCGAATGCTGTTGTAGCGTTCTTCCTTAGCACTGCACCGCGGTGTTGCCGCCTACGGCAAAAAATACGTACGAGCCCGATATCTTCCGAAAGTGAACAGAATATAAATAACTTGTTGGCAGTTGTTGGACCACCAGAGCATCGGTTCTGTTGTAGTGTCAGCTCACGTCGGCGTCGCGGCGCCGACGACACAAGTTCGTTCGCCTCTTATCTCGATCGAGGATTATCCTATCACTTTCAGCGCCTACTCGCAATGTGCTATGGCTGTGCGGAAAACGTTGTCAGGGACCTGAAAAAATAATTTTGCCCAAAATGTGGAGATCTGAAAACGGCAATAGCCTCACACAGGGTCAACGAGCCGTCCCGCAGCACTCATGCAACTTTTGGACGAATGGAAATAGACTTTTGAAATGTTGACTGTGCCCATGAGCTACAGGAAACTGTTTTTGGGACCTCTCAAAAATTTGGAGGGGCCAACCCGAGGGAGACAACGGCGGCACGAGCCCTAACTTTTTTTTTCTTTTTTTCTTTTTTTTCTTTTTTTCTTTTTTTTCTTTTTTTAATGACAACATCCCCTTTGTGACGCATCATCAATAAGATTGTAGAACAATGCGGAATTCCGTTCATATTGAATGTCTCCATCTATCATTATTTCAAAATGACGACTTAATAAAGTTTCTCAAAATGCAACTTTATGGAGCCACCATCGTGGATCATTGACTGTTGTTAACGACCTCTGGGTTTTCGCTGGAAAAAGTTTTTTTTTTACTGTTTGCAATGACATATCCTTGACTAAAGTAACATTTAGGAAGGCTAGTCCTAAGTAGATTTTTTCGACGACCGTCATTGCGTATTACTGCATTGGAAACAGAATAAAAAGCGATTTTTGTAAAGCAGAAATCAAAGGCCGCTATTACTAAAATTTTGGTTGGGGGACGTGCATCAGAATTTCGAATTCGCACCTTGTCTAGTGGTCCATTTCCTCCAAGGTTTATTATTTCTCA